GAGGGAGAGGAACCGTGGAGAAACGCAGACAAGAGAAGGGCAAGAAGAGGGAGGGGCGACCAGAGAGTACGCATAGCTAGGTACATAAGTAGTTGCATCCCCCCCCCCCCCCGCCCCCCCTAGAACCCCTCCTCCACCCCGCCGCGTCTTCTCTGTGGGTGCCTTTTGGGGGAAACAACGGCGACGGCGTGACGCAGCCTAGTGTATTCTAGACATGGTCGCGACCTCGACCTCGGCAATCCATTTGACTCTCGCCTTCTCGCCATGCCTCGCATCCACCGCCGTGGATGCTATGTTGCTCAGGTCCAGCATCGCCGCTTCGACTTGTGTCAAGAATTCGCGCGTCGAAGTCTTGGTTCCACGGGTAAACCTGCGCGCAATATTGCATGGCAGTTGGGGCCGCCCCCCCGCGGCTTGTCGGCTGCTTCCAAGCCCACTTCATGGAAGCGTTCCTCAGTCTCGGGAACTCCGCGGGGCACTGCGCGATCACCGAAAACGCCTCCATGCGCATTCTCCTCAACTTCGGCGTCGCGAACACGTTCGCGAACGCCCTGAGGTCCTGCAAGTGGAGGCTGCCATGCCCGCCTGCGTCGCAGACGACCTTGAACGGGCTCAGGAAATCGGAATGGTCGACTTCCGCGCCGTACATGTCCACCAGCTTGTCCCTCACTGGCTCGAACGGCACGCACCCTTGGGGGTCTGGCTTGCACGAGCCCTCAAGGGTGGCCATGATCTCCAATACCCAAGTTGTCATCGGTCTCCCGTTCCTTTTTTTCAACGCGATGCTGATGGTCAGGGGTGCCTCGGGCTCTTCCTCATCCATTGTCCAGGAGAGAATCTCCCATTCGGGGCCTCCTGCGCACTGCCGTGCCCGCGCAGGGTCATATCCCTTGAGCTTCTCCAGAGAACAGCACCCCCGAGCGTCGAGGATCTTCGCGGTCGCGCAGCCGCACTTGCCGCCGCGATCGCCCCCGCTACTTCGGAGGGCGCTGCAGTCGCATCCGCGCTTGCCCCCCGCGATGTTTCGCAGACATCAATGCAAATGACTGTGCGACAAACTACCATACACCGCTGGTGCTCTGGAGTCTCCACGAAGCGCCATGTCTGGATATGTCTCCTGCTGCGTTTCAAACGCTTCCTGAAACTTGTAGCACCCTCCCCCGCTACCGCGGGTCTTACTTGGACGAAAGCGCCATTGCTGTTGGCTTCGATGGGATCGCATCCGTCCGTAAAAATTGAATGAATGAGTTCCTGTGTGCGCATCGATTTCACTGGATCCCCGCTCCGGTTCACAGGGTGAGGCGCCGCTTCAAAAGGCGGAACAACCTTGCTCGACTCAATCCTGAAGCGCGCCCTGAAGGCGATGGATTGTTTGATCGCACATGCGTTTGGCTCGGGCATCCTCGCGCGATTTGCGCAAGCACCGCGACCACGGTCGCCCTCGCAAAACAACGCACTTGGATTTGAACCAAACAGCGGCGGAAAATGAAGAGAAGGAGGGGAACGGGAAGGAGGAGTGAGGATCATACGAGCGCGACAACAGAAACAAAAATGCAACCCCGATGAAGGAAAAAGCGCTTCAACAGCAAGAAAAACAACACTGTGGTACTTACAACAACCCCTAGCCACATGCGGGCACCTGCGCCCGCATGTCGCTCGGTGGCCTTTCCGCCGTCTATTATTTTCCCAACAGCCGTCTATTTGCGAGAACAGATTACTCCACCGCGACGCCCCCGCCGATCCTCGAGACCTCGGCGGGCGTTGCCACGAGCGCCCCCATGCCCAGGGAGCCTCCAGGATTCGCTCCAAAACGGAGCGAAACAAACTGGGGGCGCCTTGGGGCAGGGACAAGCGTTGCAACCGCCGACCTTGAGGTCGGCGTAATGCGCGGGCGCCTCGGAGTGCGCGCAGGTCAGGACGTGCTGGGCCTTCGCGGCGATCTCGGCCCAGCGCTTCTGCTCCTCGGGCTGCTGGGCGGTGGGTTCGTCGTCGCCCTGGCCTTCTCGAACACGGGCGACGGCCGCCATGGGCTCGACCGCCAGCACGGTCTCGGGGGCGCCCGCGCGCTCCCCAATCTCGCCCAGCAACGCGCGCACTGCGCCCAGGTCGAGGGCGTGATCGCGCGCTCCTTGACGAGCTCGGCGCGGCCACCCAGTCTGGTCTGGCGACAATCGAGCTTGCGCGGCCCGGGGAACTTACAGCCCTGCTCGATCGTGACCTGTGGCGCTCGGGATGCACGGGCACTCGTTACCTCCCGCCTGCTCCCGCTTCGTGCCACCCCCACCTGCTTCCGCCAACTGTCCGCCAACTTCCGCCGCTTCCGCCGTCGCTTCCGCCATCTTCCGCTAGCTTCCGCCTGCTTCCGCCGCCCCTGTTGGAAGCCCCCGAGGGCGCGCAGGCGGCGCGCGTCCTCGGTGCCCAGGACATGCCAGACGCCCTGCACTCTGCCGCGCCTGCCCGCGTGGACGCACTCCTCGGTGGCGCGCGCCGCCTTGCCGTGCCAGGGGGCTCCTCGCAAGCCTCGAGGCTTGTTTTCTTTTGGGTGGTCGCTTTCTGCTTGGCGCCCTCATCCGCTTGCTGCCGAACTTCTGGGAGGAGCTCGCCCGCGCCTTCGGCGGCCCGCCTGCGAGCTTCGCCCTGGCCGCGCCTCGGCCCAGTTGCTCGGGCGAGGCCTCGCCGCCAGTCTTGGCCTTCTCGCGCTGCCGCTCGCGCGCGTGCTTGCCCGGGAACTGGTCCGCGAACTTGGGCGCCCACCTGCGATTGCGCTGACTTGTTCGCGCCGCCTTGATCCGATTCCCGACGGCGCGCGGGAACTGGATCTCTTTCATCCGCTCGTCCGGCGTTCTGAGCACGTCCTTCTGTTCGTCGGTGAGCTCGAGGTCCAGTTCGCGGAGCTCCAAGAGGCAGGGGTCCTCGCCCTGCTCGCCATCCAATGGGAAATCGTCGGCGTGGAAGCAGTTCCCGTCGAAGACGCTCCACTCGGGCGCGGGCGGCGCGCCCTCGAGCCAGCTCTGCATGACCTTCACGCGCCCCCTCGCCAGGCTCTGCTCAATGCCACGGCCGGGCTCTATGGAGTAGCTCCACAGCTCGATGCCCGCGACGACCTGGGCCCCCCCCTGCTCTGTTGGCTGGACAGCGAGCGTATAATTCACTGACAGCCCTTGCAGCGGCACCGCGTCCTTGTTCTTCTCGCGGAAGCGGGTGTAGGCCTCAGAGACGCAGTCGAGGCACTCGCAGGGCCCCCATTGGATCGGGGACTTGGACTGCGTCTGGGGCTCGGCCTTGGCCATCTGGATCCAGTCGTGCTCCATGGCCCAGTGCATCTCGGCCTTTACCTCTCGGATCGCGGCCTCGAGCTGGCTGCGCTCGCGGGCGTCCGGCCCTTGCAAGAAACTCGTGACGTCAGGGGCCATGGGCGCGTAGATCACATTCTGGAGCCACGCTCGGGGCGTCACTGCCTCGGCCCAGTGGCTCGAGAGGCAGTCTGCGAATGCAAGACTCTGGCCGCGCTGCTACTTGATGAAACCGATGGTCCAGGAAGCGACCAGCTCGCTCGTCCAGGTTCTGGGCTGCCCCCACGCGTCGATGGCCTCGAAGACCCAGGCGCGGTCCTCCCCAGATGACTCGAACAGCGCGTTGCGCCGGCCCTCGAACGATCTTCCTACGGGCTCGCCTTGCTCGGAAGCGCTCCGTCTCGCCATCGCTCCGCTCGTAGGTGACGTCGCGCCGCCAGGTGCCCTCCTCGAGGTTCATGTCCCTCACTCGGCAGTGCCTTGCGCAGGGGACAAGGAGCACGCCGCGCTTCTTGGCGGACGTGGGTTCCCTGCTCGGGTCGCGCCGGCCCTCGACTGCGGAGGCGCTGACGAGGGTGATCCTGTAATTACTCTGCGTGCCGCCGAGACGAGACGAGGACGAGAAGAGATCTCTGACGCAAACGCGATCAGCGATCACCGTGTGGCGTGGCCGCGCGCGGGCAGCCAGGGACCCCCTCCAAGGAGGAGCAGGTCCCCTCTGAACGAAAATGGAATCCCCAATCCGAGGCAACCGGGATGCCTGCAAGGCTTCGGCTGCTCCCTCGGCCTTCCGAAGGACTCCCCGAAGACCTCCTCGAGCCTCCAGGGTCCTCCGGAGGCCTCGAGAAACCAGACAAGAATCTCGAGCCATCCGCGATGCGGCCGTGTCGGCACAGACGTTTGTCCCTCCACCTCCACCTTCCGTACCTTCCGACCTCGCGGAAGGTGCGGCAGAATTCATCGAATCTCATGACAACAAACTTTAGGTAACTCAAGGAGCACACATAGAACAGATCGGAAAAGAGGCGGAAAGGGTAGGGCGGAAGGTGCGGAATAAGCAAGGAGAGAGGTCTCTGACACCTTGCAGATCGCTCGATATTTGCCCGGCTCAGGCCCGCACCAACTGTCGCTTTGGAGCGAACCTCGCTGGCGTCGCCGCCGCGTCGGCGTGGCTCGAAGCTGCACGTCGTGCGATCAGAAGTCGATGCGATCGGTCTGCCCCGGCAACGTGGCTGGCTCCCGCTCAGGGCCGCCATTTGGTGCGATAGAGCCTCGAATGCCCGAAAGCACTCTGCAAGAAGGGGCGGCCATTCTGCATCAAAGGGACCTCGGCCGCAAGAAAGAGACCCCTTCGAGAGACCCCGACGTAGAATCCCATGGATAACAATGTGTTCAAGATCCGTAACTCTGTATTGGCCAGCTTAAACACAAAAGTCAGATCCGAGGGGTCGGCTGCCTCAACACCTGTGGGATCCTGGGAAGCGCTTCGATTCATATCCCAAATCAGTGTCGACGAAGGATCTGCAGATCACCCGGGGCTCTCGCTCCACATCTCTTTGGGCCCAAGAGACTCAAGGCAACCTGGGGGTTACGAGCCAACTTTCCTGGTATAGCGTGGCTGGTCAATCGCATTGCGAAGCCCGCTCTTCTTGCGAACAACCTTGAACAAAGACCAGGCGCTGCACCCGATGTGAGCAAGAGAGCGACCTGGCACCAGAGCGGCGTACGACGCGACGAACAGGAGCGCAGCCAGGCAGTTCGAGTTGAGGCTCGGCATTCCGACGCCACTGCCTGCACCATCTACAAAACAACAAAAGCTGTTTGGGCTTGAAGCAGACAGCTGCGCCAACGCCTTTGCTCATCGTCCACGCTGACCCTCTTAGATGGCTGCCTCTTTTCCGAGTTGTGAGGCTAGCTGAGAGGGTCTGGACCCACGCGACACGCAAACATATGGCAACTTCCGTGCTCAATGCACTTCATCACCACGGCGACTGCAGAATAAATAAGGGTCCCTGGAGGCCCTTAGAAAACAAATGCAACAACAAATACGCATGAAGACTTTGAATCTCGACCCATGCACAATTACACATTCTGAAGCCTACTCCCCTCTCTCCACTCACTCTGTCCAGAAGATGTCCCACCCTCATCACGGATGGTTTCTAACACGCAGGATTTGCCCACCGTGTTTTCTTATGGTGGTCAAATTGGTATGTCGGCATTATTTCTGTATTTCTAAATGGCGTTCCCGCAAGAGCGTGGGCCTCATGTTCGGATCGGCGCTTTGTTCCCGTCGTTCAGGATGGCACTCTCGCCCCACGCGGGCAACTTGTCTGGAACCGACTCCTTCCTCATCGGCCTTCCTCCGCCTTCCCCTGGTCCTCCTGCTTCACCTGCTCCTTCCACTCCAATTCCCGCTACTGCTATTCGTCCTCGCCTTCCTTATCCTTCCTTATACTTCCTCCTCCTTCCTCCTCTTCCCTCCTGCTCAACTCCTCCTTCCCAATCGCGCATGACACGATGGGGTCGTTGGGGAGTTCCAGGCTCGCTATGACACGCGTCCGCGGACAGAGAACATTCAGCGCTACGGAGAGGGATTGGCGCAAGGGGCCGGAGGTCAAATATGGCGTGAGCGCACCTGGCTTGACCCCTCCCCCTCCCAATCTCCCTCAATCCTTGAACCTCGGCCCTCCCCCTCCGCCCCAAAGAATCCAACGCCTTCATTTCTTCACAACGTGGCAGAGATGTGGACCTCTCCCCCGGGGACGACGTTCTCATCCCGAGCCGTACTTGTGACGCCCCCCTGGGGATCGGCGGGAACCCTCCGAACCCGACCACGTGCAAAAACAACAGCTTTCGTTTTACTGCTGCGACGCGAGAATGCCAATGTCCCTCTCCTTCCCACTCCGCCAAAAATCCCCCTCACCAGGACCTGTCCCGGAGCGCGTCCTGACAAGGATCTGGAAGCCCCCAGTGCCGGCGCGGGCCCACCCGGGAGCAGTGACAAGCATTCAGGTGTCCCTCGTCCTCCTCCTCCTCCTCCTCCTCCTCCTCCTCCTCCTCGTCCTCCTCCTCCTCCTCCTCCTCCTCCTCCTCCTCCTCCTCCTCCCTCCCTCCCTCCCTCCCTCCCTCCTTCCCTCCATGCCTCTCCTCCACCTCCTCCTCCTCCTCCCCTCCTCCTCCTCCTCCTCCTCGTCCACTTCCTCCTCCTCCTCCTCCTCCTCCTCCTCCTCCTCCATCATCACCATCACCATCACCATCACCATCACCATCACCATCACCATCACCATCACCATCATCATCATCATCATCATCATCATCATCATCATCATCATCATCATCATCATCATCATCAGCAGCATCAGCATCAGCATCAGCATCAGCATCAGCATCATCATCATCAGCATCATCAGCATCATCATCATCACCAGCATCATCATCAGCATCAGCATCATCATCAGCATCATCATCATCAGCATCATCAGCATCATCATCATCAGCATCATCATCATTATCATCATCCTCATCATCATCCTCCTCCTCATTATCATCATCATCATCGTCATGACCACCACCACCACCATCATCATCATCCTCCTCCTCCTCATCATCATCGTCATCACCACCATCATCATCATCATCACCATCCAGATGTTATCCTCCTCCTCCTCCTCCTCCTCCGCCTTGCTTGCAACTTCCCCCCTTCTCTTTCTCTTGAGCTGGGCACATGGGTCTGCAGTGCCGCGGAGGATGGAGGCGCTGCTGTGTTGTTGCCGTTGTACCCCGCACCACTATTCTAGTCGCTCCCCCCACCCCTCAGTGGACGGAGATAGCGCTGCGCGCGCGAAACACATCTCGCCCTCCCGAGGAAGGCCGCTGCGGCTTGAAAAGGGAGCGGAAGAAACATGTCTCCGCAAGCCCTCCTCCCCCACTTCGGCGACCTGGCCTCCCGTATATGTGCTGGGGACGCCTGGGGCCGTGGCCACGGCAGGGATTTCCGGCTGGGAGCAGACCCGCGAGCAGGGGAGCGGCTTCGGCAGCCATGGTGGGATGCCAGGCCTCAGGCATCTCATCGCTCCTTGGCTCCATCTGCCGACTACGACGACGACGACGACGACGACGACCACATCGATCGTTTTCTTGCTCGCGCCGCCCCGCCGCTGCGCCGCAGAGGGCTGGTGGATAGGAGCATGTTTTTGCGCAGACTCAGACAAGCTTGCCTGCTCCAGCGAGCCCGATAGAAGGAAAGCTGGAGATCACGCAAGTCGAGAGCTCCTTGCACGCGCTCTTGTCGCCCCGGTGCTGAGTGCAGGAGGCGGACAGGGCGAGGGGGATGGGGGGGAGGAAGAAAGACGGGGAAGGAGGGGGAGGGCGGGGTAGGGGCAGGGGAAGGGCGGAGGGAGAGGGGGGATAGCATGCCATGCAAGTAAACTTGCATGAGTCGAAACGCCAAAACATGCTCCAGGCCACGCGCGGGCGCGTCGGAGGCTTCCCCCCCACGGCGGGGCGCAGTGCCGCCCTGGATCCTCGGGCTTCGGCCCAGCTGGAGCGCCCGAGCAGAGCACCGACCACCGACGATGGCACGACCAGTCGGCACCGCATGGGGAAATCGGATCGAGTTCACATGTGGATCGGGTGGGCCCGCATCGGCGCGAGATCGAAGGCGAATCGGATCGGCTGCGCCAAGATGCACAACGGCGCCATGCCAACATCGGGCTGCATCGGATCGTCGGAATGTCGGAATCGCACCAGATCGGGCCAATCGGGATCGACACCGAATTGGATCGATCGGATCGAGACGGATCCGATGGGCGACGACGGCAGACGGCGGCGCAGACGCTACGATTGGCGCCCGCCCGTGGGCGACTCGTGGGCGCCCCCGTGCGCTGGGCGGGTGTGGCGGGAGTTTTCCAAGTACTCGGCCGTGGCAGGCCGTGGGCGGGCGCCCGTGGGCGCCCCGTGGGCGCACGCATACATACATTCATACATACATGCATGCATGCATATACATTTATGCACATGTGTTTGTACATTTGTATATGGTTACACACGCCCACATGTCTACATACATACATACATACACCATTCTATATATGTATGCGTGTATGTATGTATGTATGCATGCATGTATGCATGCATGTATGTATATATGGATGCATGTATGTATGTATGTGTGTATGTATGTGTGTATGTAAGCATGTGGGCAGGTAGGTCAGTAAATGTGTGTATATCCGCTGGCCCGCTTGTGGGGTTACTACGCTCCGCGTGTTAGGCTTGCTGCTCCCTGCCCAAGTTCCAGTTTCGCGTGTTACACTCCTGCCTCTGCTTCCAATTGAAAACTGTTGAAATCTGCGCGAGGGGGGAACCGAAACGGGCCCGGCTTTACCACCACCTGGATGGGTTCTCAGAATCCCACCAGCCCTTTGGGCGTGAGTGGTTTAGCGAGCTCTCTCTGTTCTCAACCCCCCTTCTTCCCCTTCGGGGAGGGGTTTACCCCTCCCCCTACCCCCTCCCCCTGGGCCTGGAGAGGTCCTTTCGCGGGTCGTCAGAGGGGTCATTTTCGACTCCTGGGAGGGCTAAAAAACGAAACCCCTCACGAGGATTCTGGCCCCGACGGGGGGAGGGAGAAAAAATGCTCCCCTCTTCTTTGAAGCCAAAATCATTGATTTTACTACGGTTTTGGCCCCATTTTGGCCTTCTGAGGGGGCAGCGCTAATTAAAGCTCCCCTCTTCTTTCAAGCCAAAATCATTGATTTTACTAAGGTGGCCCCATTTTGGCCTTCTGAGGGGGCAGCGCTAATTAAAGCTCCCCTCTTCTTTGATCGATTTCCTCCAAGATGGCCCCAAGAAGCGCCCAGGAGGCACCAAGAGGCCCCAAGATGGCCCCAAGAGGCCCCCAGGAGGCCCCCAAGAGGATCCCAAACGGCCCAAAGAGGCCCCCCCGAGGCACCCAAGACGCCGAAAAGCCCATCAAGACGACCCTCTACTCGCCTGGGCGTCGTTTCTGCACGGGCAGGAGGAGGGGCCCGAACGACTCACACCAGGACGAGGGGCCCGAACAACCATATATATATATATATATATGTATATATATATATATCTATATATATATGATACATATACATATACATATATATATATATATATATATATATATATATATATGTATGTATGTATGTATGTATGTATGTATGTATAGATACATAGATTGCTCACCGTGGGTTCAAGAGCCTACACGCCGCTTGGGGCGAACATGTGGTCTCAAATCGCCGCCTGGCATAATGCGGGTCATAAGTGATTGCCGGCAAAGTGTCAGCTTGTGATTAACAACTCCTTGGGGGGCGCGTGATTTAAAACATGCCCCTGCTCGGGCAATGCGCGGGGGTGTGGGGCGCCCGCCACATTGAAACGCACGGCGGCGGCGCGAGTGACTAGCGCCGACACAAGACCGTCAGCAAAAAGGCGACAAGCGCGACGCAAGCGGCGCCGTTTCCGCGGCGGGGGACAGCAACGCCTCCGATATAGCGGGGCGTTTGAAACGACGACGACGACGACGACGGCGACGGCGGACGACGACGCACTGGTGATGCTTCACTGGGGGGGTGGGCAGGGGTGCTGCGTATGCCCGATGCGGTGGTCGACGACGACGACAGCGACGGCGACGATGACGACGACGACGGACGACGACGACGACGACGCACTGCGGATGCCCTGGCAGGGGGGGGCTGCATCAGACGACAATGACGACGACGACGACGACGGCGGCGGCGGCGACGGCGA